CAATTTGGAGAAGAAAATAAACATTTCCTTCCATATGTTTATTTGAAGTTCATGAGAGATACAATTTTTCATTTTGAAATATTCCATATGATCCTAGGTCTTACAGAAGAAGCAACAAAATAGTAAGAAGTTGGCATCACTTTCGATCCAAAATGAGAAACGTGCTAATGAATTAGAGCAGAGTATAGATCACATGAAATATCAAAAGGTACAGCTGCAAAAGAGACTTCGAGAAGAAAATGAAAAAAGGAAGCAACTGGATACAGAAATTCAGCGGGATCAACAAAAAATCAAAGTAATATTGTCATACTTTCCTGCTAAATATGAACTGGCTCAGAGCTGAGGAAGCCAAGGTCTTGATTTTACTTGTGAGGTATTTCATCTTGGCCTCTCCTTGGCTGCTGTCCTCATTCTCTTTAAAGCTTTGTTCATCTACATAGTAAAGCCTATTTATTGAATTCTGAGTACTGTCTTGAAGGCTTTGACTTCACAAAAGAATGTTTAGTGATAGTTTCTTAACTGTAGTTGCGACTGTCAAGAACATAAAAAGCCAACTTTCTAAATAACATCTGACATTTGAATAGGATTTCCCATTTTCAAAGTGCTTTGAAATGCATTGTCCATGTGGTGGCATGGAAAAAAGTACAGGGTAAAATGGTACCATTCCACTCATAGTGAGCAGAAGAGTGATCAAACCTGTACTACATCCAGCAGTTCTATAGAGTGGATTGGGATGGGGAGGGACTAGTGGTGCAGTGTCCGCCTGGGCTCTGGAGCCAGGCTAGCATAGGTTTAAATCCCAGCTCTCTTAGTTCCTAGCTGGATCATTTATTGAGTAAATCACTTATCCTCTCTGAGTCTGTTTACTCATATCGATAATAGCCTTAATCATACTTGCCTCACAGGACTCTTTCGAAGAAAGAGGAGGATGATCACCATCATAATAACAATCACAAACACTTATCTAGCACTACATAGTAGTTTCTTCTCTTGAAATGTTAAGCCAAACCCAAAGCTTATAACATATTGGAGGTTTCCTAGATATTTAATTTTGGAATATAATCCATTCTCAGATCTTAAAAAACGATAGAATTTAGTGATGGAAGTGAACTTAAAAAGCATTTAAGCCAAGCTACTGACTTTTTTTTTATTGAGATATACTTCACATACCATACAATTCACCCATTTAAAGTAGACAGTTTACAAGGACTTGGTATATTACAATTAATTTTATAAGTTGTGGTAAAAGATATATCATTTTGAACATGTTTAATTGTACAGTTCAGTGGCATTAATTATATTCACAATGTTGTGCAACCGTCACCATCTATTTCCAAAACTTTTAGCATATTTTCAAGGTTTATCCACATTGTAGCATATATCAGAACCTCATTTCTTTTTAAGGCTGAGTAATATTCCATTGTATGCATATACATTTTATTTTTCCATTCATTTGTTGTTAGACGTTGGGTTGTTTTCACCTTTGGCTATTGTGAATAATGCTGCGATAAATACTGGCATATAAGTAATTAAGTCCCTGCTTTCAATTTCTTTGGAAGTGAAATACCTAAGAAGAGAATTGCAGTGTCATATGTTAATTCCATATTTACATTTTTTGAGGAAGCACTAACTGTTTTCAGTAGAGGCAGCATTAGTTCACATTCTTGCCAGAATGTACAAAGGTTCTAATTTCTCCACATCTTTGCTAACACTTGTTGTTTCTGTGTGTGTTTGTTATAGACATCCAAGTATGTGTGAAGTGATGTTTATTGTGGTTTTTATTTGCACTTCCCAAATGACTAATGATGTTTAGCATTTTTTCATGTGCTTATTGTCCATTTGTATATCTTCTTTGGAGAAATGCCTATTCATGTTCTTTGTCTACTTTTTTTTTGGTTCCTATTCCAACCGGTTTTTATTTTAATTTTTAATTGAATTTATCGGGGTGACATTGGTTAATAAAATTAGGGTGAAAAGGGTGAAGGGATTAAGCAAAAAAAACCCAAAAAACAAAAAACAAAACAACAACTCCTCAGACACAGACAACAGCATGGTGATTACAAGAAGGGAAGGGGGTAAAGGGAGGTAGGAAAGGGTAAAGGGGAAATAAATGGTGATGGAAGGAGACTTTGTCTACTTCTTAATTGGATTATC